AAATTGGCACCAAAAAAAGGTTTATGACTAAATTGGCACAAATACAAAAGGTTAGGACTTTTTCTTCCGAGTGATTCAGGATTTAGTTGGCAAGTACCTCATCTGTTCTCGACTACCTAATTTCCTAAATTACAATTATTCTTCTAAACTAGACACTACATTATTAATATATCTACCATTATCTTACTATATATATTTGTTATAAATATTTAGAAAATAATATATAGTTTGGTTTCAGCCGGTCACGTATTTAGTCGAGACAAGTTTGGAACCCTATTTAAAAGATCGCCTTGGGTTAAGGATGGATAGGAGTTAATGTTAGGGAACAATCGAGTATGAGTTTGGGGCAAAGTCTGTCGTCTCAAGCTACACAAGGATTCCGACCAAAAAAAAAGAAAAAAACTACACAAGTATAGATAATTGGAAAGAGAATAGCGATAATACGTCATAAGTAAGCAAGTGAATTTTAGAAATATAAATCAATACCGTTTATTAGGCAATTTAGCATGATTTATATAGTTTGGATTCCTTCCAGAATAACACTTTAATGGGAAAATTACGAAAAAAAAAGTCATAAACATATTGTACGATATCAATTCAGCTCTAAACCTTTTGATTTTACCAATTTAGTCATAAACCTTTCGAAGATTTGCCAATTTAATCATTCCAATCAATTTTGGTCAAAAATTAACGACGTGGACGTTGGCCGTGTTACATGGCAAGGCACAATTCTTACAATTTTTTAATTTCTTCTGAATATTTTTTCTTTCTTTTTTTCTTTTTTTTCCAACTCTGGGCCAGCAACCCTCACGCACAGCCAATAAGGGCTTCGTCATCCTCACACAGTGGCTGGAGAGGGTCGGCTAGCCTCGCTGGCTCAATTTGAAAAGAAATAGAAAGAAAATAGATAAGAAAAAATATTAAATTATTAATAATTCGGAAAATTTAAAAAAATAAAAGCAAAAATTGTCCATGTCAACGTCGACCATGCCATGTAGAACGGCCGACGTCCACGTCATCAATTTCCAGTCAAATTGACCGAAAAGATTACATTGTCGAATTTTCAAAAAGTTTATGACTAAATTAATCAAATTGAAATATTTATGATTGAATTGGCTGCTATATAATAAATTTAGGACTTTCTTTTTATAATTATCCTCATTTTAACATATTAGGAATGAAATTGTTTGAGATGATATCAGCGCATAAGTCCATATTTCGAGTATCAAGGATACTCATCCTTATTACTGTTACCGCTCGTGTCACCCTCGCCTTGTGAATAATGCTCACTTTTTCTTTTTGCCCTCTCTGTCCATATGTTCACAGCCTCAAGCACGAGCTGGTTTCAATTTCAATCCAATCAACACCAGTCAAGTCAAAGTCAATCTTTTAGAGGATCATTGCACCTGCAAAAGGGATGAAACTTGGGCCTTTAAAAGCAAGAATGGTGGGTGATTGGGCCCTGTAGATCCGGACCCCAAAGGAAGCATTCAATTACCTAGAGTGTCCAGTACGAGCCAAGACTGAGAATTCAAAACGAACAAGAGAATCATTGTTTCATAATCAGACCGGACCGACGGTTCAACCGGGGATGACTTCGATTTTCGACCAACTCATTTTCCCTCGATTTGGGCCAATTCGACCGATTTTTGTGGGACAATCCACTATTGATTAGTATAAAAAGGTCATTCACGAGAGAGTAAAACCGAGTCCCCCAAGATTGTGTATTGGCATTTTAAAGTGCAATCATATTGTGTTAATCAATGGTTTAAAGTTGGACTTAAACACTCTCTCAAAATGTCATGTTTCATGCAAAATATCTCAATGGAAAGACAAAAGTGAGAGAATCCATGCTGCTTTCGTGCTTGCTTCGTTGGGCTCCACATGCGAAGCCAAAAAGGCAGCCAGGAAGAAGAATCAAAAGGGAGATGGTGTTGGAGCAAACAAGGAGGGTACATGTAAAGGAAGAGGATGCAGAGGGATAAGAATAATGCTGCTTTTGGCATTGACTTGTTCCGACGCACTAACGAGAGGCTCTCTGTCTTGCCAAGAGATGAAACCTTTCCTAGGTGAACAAAGACCAAGACTTTGGTGCAACGAAGACACGAAGACCAAGACTTTGGCTTAGGACTTGGACTACTATTCCCATATAACAATTTGAACGCGCAACCCTCACTAAGTATCGAGTTTTTTTAGCTCATTCCTATTCTCAAAAGATCGCTCGCCAATTGCCCTACAATTCCCAGGGAACAGTATTAAGAACCACCCAATAAAGTATAGGGCCGTCCTTTTCTTTTGTAATATGACCTATCTCGCTAATGTCATCTTTAGCGACGAAGTAGGTGTCTTCCGGAAGAGAGAGGATCGTGTAATCCGAGCCAGACGAGCAATTGTGGCCTGGGTAGCCGCAGAGTACGGCAGGATCGCTGAGAATATGGGGATGTCGCTGAATTGGGATGAGAATGAGATGGTGTCACAAATGGTCGAGAAAGTGGAGTGGAGGCCATGGAAGCTCTCGCAGAAGGAGGAGGAGGAGGAGAGAGAAGGGGAGAGAATGCAGAGAAGGTGGGGGGTTGGCGTTTTCTTTGTTCTTCTCTTGATGAGGAAGGAGATGATTACGTGGCAATTTAGAATGGAGCGGCTAAATAATAATTCGGTCAAAGTCTTAAATGGTTACTAAAGAATATATTAGTTTGACTTTCATTTTTATTGGAAACTATATTCGAGTAATCCTATTTGTATAAAAAAGTTCAAGTAATTTAATAAGAACTCATTTTGGCCATTAGTCACTCGTCCAAAAACAACGACCAATTGTGCGAGCGTATAAAATTTTAAATGTCAATTTTCCGCAAGCGTTTCATTTGCAAGCTCATGATTGGCTTACCTAGAGTGTGTTTGTTTGGGAGAGAAAATTTCATGACGAAGGAAAATGCTTTCTGGAAAAATTATTTTCTAGGAAAATGTATTTTCCTTTTTAAAGTAGGGAATTTATTTTCCTAATTTTAAGCTTGCATATTTTCTTTGACTATCAATGGTTTTTCGTTGACCAATCATTTTCAGCAAACCAACGCGAGAAATTCTAGAGAACTAATTAGCAAAAAATTCTTTCGCGAAGACAAACCCACCCTACAATCAGGTTGAAGAAAGAAAACATGTTTATTGTGCGGATGGATTAAAGTCCACACGGCAACGAAATCCATTTACTATATCACCAAACAAACGCAAACAATTTCTACAATTCGACTCGTATTTTATTTGATCGGTCCATTATGTTAGTAAAATATTTCCTGGTCAGGAATTATCGATCTTAAAAGTATTTTGCAATAATAATTCAATTACGAAGGACCTTACAAAAGCCACTGTGAGTGATTGAAACTTCGTTTACCGTTCGAGGGGAGATTTACACCAATCTCTATTAGGACAGTCAAAATTAGAATGATTGGTTATTTTCTTGAATTCATTATTCCTCCATAATTGATTGGAAACTTCGAAAATGACTCTGGACTTCCATAGAGAAGTTTGCCCTTTCATTGGACCATTACCATTTTTGTCTCTTATTTAGAGTGGGCCTATTTCCGCTCCTATACGACTAAATCTACCATATTTTCATTAAAGAGTAAATGATTGTAAAAGTAAAGGAACCGGATTGCAAGCACTGAAAATTGAAGGTTGCGAGAAAGGTCAAGGGACAGGAAATTTGAAGTGTTGAAAGAGTACGTAAATATGCAAGAACAAGTGTTCCGTGATTAATTATGGGAAACTATGCAAGGATTATAATGTGGGTTTTTATATTTAACTAATAGCGGTAATTTACGAACAACTATGAATTTTGAATCTATAGATAACCGTTAATACCAAAAAATTATGTTTTTCGAAAAATTCTACTTGTCGGTCCAAAGTAAAATGAAAAAACCTCGATTTTCTTAAATTTCCTGAATTCCATCCTTTTTGAAGAATTTAGTTTTTTGGAACACTATAATCGAACAAATGGGGTGTCTACAACCATGATTTAGTTAAGTGATTCTAGCACAGTTACAAGAATGACCTTTGTTTTTGCCACCATTGCCGATGTCATGAAACCACGAATTACTATGAGATCCCTTAAACGCACTTCAATGATCGAGATAAGAGTGGAACGTCAAAAATTTATTGGACTTGGAGCTTTGTTAATTACATTCTTTTCTTAGAAAAAGAAATCCGGGAGAGTTCTACAAAATAATACGTGAGGAATATGTATAGGAGAATGTATAGTTAACGAGTATCTCAGGATTACTAATTGAGCATAAACGACAATGAATTGCTAAAACGCTGATCACACTCAACCACGAAGGAAATTGGTGCATTTACAATGGTAACATTTGTTGCTTAACTGGTTCTCTAGCATAGTCTGCAATAAGATCCTTAAATGAAATGACACAGCTTTCACTATACGTAACATGGATTAGGCATACTCAATTAAAGAGTTCAGGTGATCGTACGAATGAAGGTTTTTCAATAAAATTTGTTCAACATGTCATCGATTTTGCATAATCTAAATCCGATTTGGATAAATGACGAACTCTACTGATATTATGAAATAATGCACATTTCACTTTTTTTTGTGCATCATACATAAAAATTGGGATAAGTTACTAGAAGTCTTAAAACCTGTCACGAAATTACAATTGAATCCTAAAACTTTGAAAAAGTGCAATTAAGTCGTAAAACTTGCTACGAAAGTGCAATTAAGTCGTAAAACTTGCTACGAAAGTGCAATCGAGTCCTAAAACTTTCAAAAATTGCAATAATGGAAAAGCTTAATTGGACCAATTTGACAAGTTTTAGGATTTGATTACACTTTTTGAAAGTTTTAGAACTCAATTGTACTTTCGTGATAAGTTTTAAAACTTAATTGCACTTTTTGAACGTTTTAGAACTTAATTGCACTTTGATAATAAGTTTTAAGACTTCCAATGCACTTATCCTCATAAAAATTCAACCTAGACATTTGATCCCAATAATCATTAATATGTCTAGAAGTGCTTTTTTCTAATAATCAGTTACAAACTATCATCAGTCTCATATAATTGATATTGAATTGACACTAACTTGAGTCATCACTCCTTTGCAAAGACGAAATTTCACCTGGAGAAGCTACGAGCGATTTTGGGGGAGATGAGAATGCTGGTTTGGGAGGAACTTGCAAGGCCTCAACACTTCCTTCTAGCATCTTCACAACATGGGTCATAGATGGTCGAGCTCTTAGATCGATTTGAATGCACCATAGGCTTATTATAATCATCTTCTTCGCGATTCCTTCGTCCTCCTCATTCGTGATCCCGCACAGCCCAAGCTCTCCTTGGAGCTCCAGGCATCGGTGGACCCAATGAGGGAAGTATGTTTCGCTAGTATGATCTACCATGACTTCAATGTTTTTCCTCTTGCCGACCATCTCTAGAACCATCATGCCATAACTATAAACATCTGATTTGTGGGAAACCCCTCCAATGTTCCTCATGATCAGCTCCGGAGCAATGTATCCGGGGGTGCCTCGGGCACCTAGCATAGACACGATGCTCTGTTCTCTTGGGCATATTTTGGCAAGACCAAAGTCAGAAATCTTGGGACAATAGTTTATATCGAGAAGGATGTTGTGAGGTTTTATGTCGAAGTGCAAGATCCTCGTCTTGCAGCCTCCATGCAAGTACTCTAACCCGTGAGCTATGCCGAGAGAAATCTGGTACAATGTGTCCCAACTCAATTGTTGATCTACCTCCAAAGTGTTACTCCTGTTGAATATGAACTTTTCAAGTGATCCATTGGGCATGAACTCATAAACCAACGTGAGGATAGCCAACGCCATTGTGAGGATAGCCAACGCCATCGACGTCCCCGCAGCTGAACGTCTCGGTGCAGTTCGAGTAATAATCCTCGCCCAGGGAATGAGGAGTCTTGATAAAGATCAGGAACAGTGGAAACAGCAAGTGGAGAATGAGAGAAGAGGATGGAGAAGGAACCCAAGAAAGAGACATGGCGGTTCCCGAAGGAATGGGAATGCGGGTGCTCGAGAGAGGAAATGGAAGGCAAATTGAGGGTTTGGAGAAATAATCCAAGAAAGAGAGAGCAAAGTAGCATCTCGAGACGCGGGACAAGAGAACCGACAAGGTCAACGGGTCGACGATGAGCCACGAAGCACCTCCAAGACCTTGACTTAGGACTTGGACTGGTATTCGTTCCTATATAACTATTTGTACGCGCAACCCTCATTCATTAACGAGTTTTTTGAGCCCATTCCTAAGCTCAAAAGATCGTTACCCAATTGCCTTACAATTAATTCCCAGGAAATAAAATTGAGGACCACCCCCATAAAGTATAGGACCGTCCTTTTCTTTTGTAACATGACCCATCTCGCTAATGTCCTCTTTGGTGCCGAAGCAGGTGTCGTCCGGAAGAGAGAGGGTCGGGTAATCGGGGCCAGACCAGCAATTGTGGCCTGGGTAGCCACAGGGTACGGCAGGATCACCGACAGTCCAGGTTATGGGGATGTTGCCGCATTGTGACGAGGATGAGATGGCGTTGCAAATGGTCGAGAAAGTGGAGTGGAGGCCATGGAAGCTCCCGAAGAAGAAGAAGGAGAAGGAGAGAGAGAAGGAAAGAGAATGCAGAGAAGGTGGTGGGTTGGCATTTTTCTTTGTTCTTCTCTTGGTGAGGGAGAAGATGATTGTGTGGCAATTTAGAATGGACCGGCTAAATAATAATTCAGTCAAAGTCTTAAATTGTTACTAAAGACAATATTAGTTTGACTTTCATTTTTATTGGAAACTATATTCGAGTAATCCTATCTGTTTAAAAGGTTCTAGTACACTAATAACAACTTATTATGGTCATTAGTTACTGGTCCAAAAACAACGACTAATTATGCGAGCCTATAAAATTTAAAGTCTCAATTTCCTCAAGCGCTTCGTGCGGAAGCTCATGATTGGCTTACTTAGGGTGTGCTTATTTGGGGGAAAATTTTATGATGGAGGAGAAATTATTTTCCAAGAAAATGTCCTTCCCTTTTTAAAATAGGAAATTCATTTTTCTTAATTTTAAGCGTGCATATTTTCTTTGACCATAAACGGTTTTTCGTTGACCAATCATTTTTAACAAACCAAACGCGAGAAATTCTAGAAAATTAATTCGCGAAAAATTCTTTCGCAATTTGCGAAAACAAACGCACCCTGAGTTGAAGAAAGAAAACATGTGTATTGTGCAGACGGATTAAAGCCCACACGGCAACAAAATCCATTTATCATGTATCGCCAAACAAACGCAAACCATCATGACTCGCTCACTACAATTTCACTCGTATTTCGTTTGATCGGTCCATTATGTTAGTAAAATATTTCTTGGTCGGGAATTATCGATCTTGAAAGAACGTTGCAATCATAACTCAATACACGAAGGACCTTACAAAAGGCATGTGAGTTAATGAAACTTCGTTTAAGGTAAGAGGAGCGATTTATACTAATCTTTATGAGGACAATCAAAATTAGAATGATTGGTTATTTTCTTGAATTCATTATTTCTCCATGCATGCAATTGATTGAAAACTTCGAAAATGACTGTGAACTTCCATAAAGAAGTTACCCCTTTCATTAGACCATAACTCTTTTTGTCTTTTATTTAGAGTGGCCTTGTTTTCACCCCCATACGACTAAATCTACCATATTTTCATCAAAGAGACAAAATTGCCATTATATCATCCAACAAACATTTAAAGTGGCGAATTCCAATTTTATTCATTTTCCTCTTTTTTTTATTTTTTTTATTTTATGTTGGATCTAGTTGCCACAGTTATGAGTATCAAATGTTTTTTTCTTTTTTTTAAAGAAATTAAGTGGGTATTACCGAGCAAGAAATTTTCGAGATACCTAATTTTCTGGTATTGATAATTATTTATAGATTCAAAATTCAGAACTGTTTGTCAATTACCTCTATTAGTTGAAATATAAAAACCCACGTTAAATCCTTGTATAGTTTCCCGTAATCAATCACGGAAAACTTGTTCTTGCGTATTTACTTTCATCATTAAGCTGAGATTTACTCTTTCAGCACCTTCAATTTCCTGGCCCTTTACCTTCCTCGCAACCTTTAATTTTCAGTGCCATTCCGGTTTCTTTACTTATACAATCATCTACTTACCGGTTTAAATTAAAATAAAATAAACCTCAATTTTCTTAAATTTTTAGGAATTCTATCCTTTTTGAAGATTTTCGCTTTTTGGAACAATAATATCGAACAAATGGGGTGTCTACAACCATGATTTAGTTAAGTGATTCTAGCACAGTGACAAGAATGACCTTTGTTTTTGCGGCCATTGCGGATGCCAAGAAAATACGAATTGCTATGAGATTCCTTAAACGCACTTCAAAGATGAAGGTAAGAGCGAAACGTCAAAAATTTCTTGGACTTGGAGCTTTGTTGATTACATTCTTTTTTTAGAAAAAGAAATCTGAGAGAATTCTACAAAATAATATGTGAGGAATATATTTACGAGCATGTACTCAGGATTACTGATTGAGCATAGATGACAAGGAATTGCTAAGACACTGATCCCACTTAAATCATGAAGGAAGTTAGTGCGTTTACAATGGTGTGTGTGTGTGTGTGTATATATATATATATATTTGGTCAGATAATGGTAACTTGTATTGCTTAACTGGTTTTCTAGCATAGTCTATAATAAGATCTTTAAATGAAATGACATATCTCTCAACTATACTTGATATATGGATTAGACATACTCGATTCAAGAGTTCATGTGAATTTGGTTCGCACGAATGGAGGTTATTCAATAAAATTTGTTTAACATGTTATTAATTTTGCACAATCTAAATCCTATTTGTATATACAACGAAGGCTACTGATATTATGAAATAATGCACATTTCACTTTTTTTTTGTGCAACATACCATAGAAATTCAACCTAGACATTTTATCGCAATAATAGTTAATACGTTTACCGGTGCTTTTTTTAATACTACATTACAAACTATTGTAAATCTCATATTATTGACATTGAATTAACCCCAACTCGAGTCATCACTCTTTTGCAAAGACGAAATTTCACCGGGAAAAGCTACGAGCGATCTTGAGGGAGATGAGAATGTTGGTTTGGGAGGAACTTGCAAGGCCTCAACACTTCCTTTTAGCATCTCCACAACTTGGGTCATAGATGGTCGAGCTCTCGGATCAATCTGAATGCACCATAAGCCTATTACAATCATCTTCTTCGCGATTACTTCGTCCTCCTCATTTGTGATCCCCTGTAGCCCAAGCTCTTCTTGGAGCTCCAAGCATCGGTGGACCCAATGAGGGAAGTATGTTTCGCTAGTGTGATCTACCATGACTTCAATGTTTTTCCTCCTACCGACCATCTCCAGAATCATCATGCCATAACTATAAACATCTGATTTGTGGGAAACCCCTCCAATGTTCCTCATGATCAGCTCCAGAGCAATGTATCCGGGGGTTCCCCGGGCACCTAGCATTGACACGATGCTCTCTTCTCTTGAGCATATTTTAGCTAGACCAAAGTCAGAAATCTTGGGACAATAGTTTATATCAAGAAGGATGTTGTGAGGTTTTATGTCGAAGTGCAAGATCCTTGTCTTGCAGCCTCTATGCAAGTACTCTAACCCGTGAGCTATGCCGAGAAAAATCTGGTACAATGTGTCCCAACTCAATTGTTGATCTACCTCCGAAGTGTTACTCCCGTTGAATATGAACTTTTCGAGGGATCCATTGGGCATGAACTCATAAACCAAAGCTCTTTTACTTCCTTCAAAACAGAAACTCAAGAGGCTGACAACATTGACATGAGAAGTCCTGCTTATGCTTGCAACTTCATTGAACAATTCTTCGGCGTCGCCTTTCAACTTCTTTAGTAGCTTCACCGCCACAAGCTGGCCATCTTGAAGCTTGCCTTTGTACACGTAGCCATAGCCTCCCTGGCCTAACTTTTCTTCTAAAGTGTTGGTCATCCTCTTAATGTCTTTGTAGGTGTATCTTTTCGAAGAGACAAGTCTCTCGATTTTCATTTCGCCATCGAAATGGTCGTTCCCCTGCTTTATCAACGCCATTATTTGTCTAATCATTGGTCTCTTTCTTAAGGAAAGCATTAAAATTAGGGTAATCCCAATTCCAGCTCCTGATGCGGCTATTCCTGATAAAACAGAGAATATTTTCAAACAGCAATCTCACTTCCATCTCTTTATCGAGGCTTCTAAGTTGCGAATCCTTATAGGAAATATTCAACGAAAAACACGATTTAACGGATTACCTATTATAACTCCTGTCCTCAAACTGCCACGTTTCCCTGCTAGGACACAAAGGCTTATCAAATAAATCCTTAATGAAGTTGTGATGAAACTAGTAAAAGAGTGCTTCCAACAGTGCAGTAGATCGTGCATAAATCTCGTATGGAAGAATTTATCGCTCATGCTTGGATCCACACTGAAAAACGGTTTTATATGTAGAGTTCAAATCAATCAATGTTATATATTCAAACTGTGCACTAAACTACGCTGAAATTACACAAAGAAAGGCAAGCTGTTTTAGTCCAACGTTTGCAAATTTTAACGTGAATTTGGTCTTCAGTCGGTACATTTATACCATTAGATCTTGTGGGACGCAGACACCAACCTCATGATCAGACAATTGAGGCGGCGAAGGTTGCAGTGAAGTTTTAATCCACACTGTCCCTCCGCACGTACAAATGAAAGATCATGCAAAACAGTAGATATGAAGCCTCAGTCAAGAAGCGCAAACAGAAAATTGACTCCGCTATGCACTTATCATCATTGCAGGTTTGAGAATGAGGACCATCTTGGCAAAAGCAAACGAAATTATTGTTCTCGAAACCACACCGTCCCTCACTTCCCTCGCAGTTGCTGCAATTAATTGCAGTCCAGTTCAAAAGGAACCCCATCTTTATAATCTCACTGTAGTTCATAGACGCCAAGCTAGTGATATTTGCATTAACATCAACAGGTACACTAACTGGAGGATCGCAGGAGCTGACGGCGGAATACAAATCTTGCGCTGCTGTCTTGGGGAAAAGAGCAAAAGAATAGTGGGTGTAGTCGCTAGCACAGTCCACTGGATATGTAAAACCTGTCGGCTTCGAGGTGCAATTATAGTAGAAGAATAAATCGTCATTTGCGGAACTAAGATTGAAAGGCGTCCTTTCGAGGCTGTTATTACGCGGCGGAGCACCACAGGAGTCCTGGTTCACGAGGGCATTAACCAGGAGGAACGAATGGTTCGCATAGAAGATATCCTTGACGATGAACTCACCGTCCGAGAAATTCAGCACCGGGTATATCTCTTTGCAGTTAATCTCGAAATTCGGATAGCCACAGTAGGACTCCTGCAAGCCAGAAATCCAAAAAGGGTAGCTGATGTTCGGACCATATCCGCAGTTCCGAGGCACGCAGGCCTCGTATTGCACACCATCCGATAGAGCCTGATAGACTAAGTTGGTGAAGACGATGACAAGGACCAATTGGTGACGATTAGCTACACACATGAAGTTTTGGAGATTCATTTGGACTGGAAGGAGGCAGAGGATGGCAGAGAATAGGATAAGGAGGTAGGGAGAGAGTGAGGAAAGCATTTGCGGAAAAATCAAATGGAGTTGGTTTGAATTGGTCCGGTCTCCTAATCACCGTCGCCCGCTAGTTCATCAACTTTGCCCTAAAAAATCCTGAGGGCCAAACCATGAAACGTTCCAAGTCAAAGCGACCTCTAAATTACAATTGGGTTGGAGGACTCACCAACGTTTTGAAATGTTGACATTGGCGATCTACCTAATCATTAAGAACAAATCCTGCTAAGCAACGCAAATTAATTATTGATTTTTCTTGTTTGACCTTCCAATGCCAAATTTTAGTCCTAACAAAAATTAAACATTTATGTTGCACATTTTGCGGGGATTCTTGTCCAAAACTGGGGTTCTCACTCCTCTTAATGTAACTTATAACCCAATGTGGTTCTAGAATTAGTCAACACCCGCGTTAGGTGTCTTCACCTTTAGTATTTGTTAGTAGTATCTGTTGGAGAAAGGATTTGATTTGATTTGATTCTTGACTCCGATTCTAATCACATAGATTGAAGACTAATTGATTCAGTCGGTTCACTAGTTTCCGATTCGAGGCCAATGGGGCACTGGACCAAGTCAGACATGGGCACAACATGGCCCATTCGAAAAAGGAGGAGGTCCAGGCCTTGGGACTCAGCCCAATCCAAGTGGTGGATCGGGTTGGATGGGTCCAGATTAGAGACCCGAATCCACTCAACCGGGTCTAGGGACGAATCCCTACCCAATTTTCCAACCCGGCTTCCTCCCCTACACAATCCCAACCAGGTCATTGAATAGGCTCCATCAAGGCAAAAACAATTGAATTCTTCCCTTGTCCAGCCATACCCGGATGTACCCCCCGATTTATTGCAATTTTCGCACTGCGATGTGTTGGCAATCCAAATGATCCCAAGGCTTTTGTTCAAGACCTCCCTAATAATAGCAGTATCGTTGCCGCCCTCCAAAGGTTGTGGTAGCCCTGGAGCTTCACTTCTTGAAATCGGGACAAGGACACTGAAGTTGCATAGCTCATGTATGGGACTTGCAAGGTCCACATCGAGAGCAAAGTAGCCATCTCGAGACGTGAGACAAGAGAATTGATAAAGTTGAGGGGTGGCCGATGAGCCACAACCGTAGAATACAGTGGAATTGAGGTCACTGGAAGTGTTGTCGAAGAGACTGAAGGCTAAAGTGGTGTTGATATATGTATGAAGACATATATCTTCCGATAAATCTGTCCTAGCCACCTCGAGGATCTGCCTGCTCCTATTCATGTGGATCACCCGATATTTCTAGAACACCATGGACAGTGTCAGGCCATATTCGTCACAGTCGAGCTCGTAGCCTGGATATCCACAGTATGTTTTTTGCTCATTATGCCTGAAAGGATAGCTGATTTGTTGATCTCCACAATCAAAAGGAATGCACCCTTGGTACGGTGCGAAGTCGCCGGAAGCTGGCACGGGGACGTAAATCTGGAGGAAGATGATGAAGAAGAAGGAGAGAGAGAGAGGGACGTGACATGGTAAGATTCGTCCAAAGGGAGTTGATAAATGAGCAAACAAGGAAGGACATGTAAAGGAAGAGGATGAATTAGCGCTGCTTTGGGAATGACTTGATCCAATGCACTAATGAGAAGCTCTTATTCTTGCCAAGAGACTGAGACCTTTCCTAGGTGAACGAAGACCAAGATTTTGGTGTACGAAGACACGAAGACCAAGGCTTTTTGGCTTAGGACTTGGACCGGTTTTCCCATATAACAATTTGGACACGCAACCCTCCCCCGTCTTTTGAGCTCATTCCTAAGCTTAAAAGAACGCTAACCAATTGCCTTACAATTCCCAGGGAGCACACAAAAGAACCGCCCCATAAAGTATAGAAGCGTCCTTTATTTTCGTAATTTGACCTATCTTGTCAATGTCTTTTTCGGTGACGAAGCAGGTGTCGTCCGGAAGAGAGAGGGGGGATGATTTTTGAAAATGACTCTGGACTTATATAGAGAAGTTAGCCATTTCATTAGACCATAACTCCTTTTTGTCTTTTATTTTTTTCTCATATCCATATTTTAGGGGGGAGGGTGGTCGAGCTTGATGCACTTTTTAAAAAACAATAGTTAGAATTTTATTAAAATTTCTACAAAAACATTCAGGGGACTTAAATTTAGTGTAAATTTTCATTATTAATTTTTTATAGAATTACAGTATCAAACAAATAAAGTAGCAGTGATAAAAATTATCCGTATTCTCTTTCACACTATCAATCTTCAGTAAGCGCACGACTCGTTGGAGTGTGGTTCGATGGCTTGTATTTTATCTTTGGCTACAATGAGATTAAGAAATTAATGGTCTTAAAACATTTCGAATAAGAACTTCATCTGTAATCAAGTATTACAATGATTATAGTATTTTCCCTTTCTGGACTTCTCAAGTTGATATTTTGCGGCACAACAACACCAAAAAACTATCAAAGAAAAAAATGCATGATCGTCGTCCCAAAAACACACACATAGGAAAAATAACACTTAAGTCCTAAATTTTAGCCAAATATATAATGTCATCCTTAGACAGTTAATTTGTTTAATCTGGTCCTTGAACTATTTCTAAATGTTCAATGTAGTCCATTTATTTGATCGAACAAGGGAGAAAGTCATCACAAGTCCCCAAATTGTTGTGAAATGCTCAAGTCTAATCCTTAAACTATTGCAAAATGTGCAATCCAGTCTCTAAATTATTGCAAAATGTGCAATCTAGTCCTAAACTTTCATTGTGTTTAGTCTAGTCCCTCAACTTTCCATAACAAAGTCAAATCAATCTTTCAAATTTTTACCATCCACAAGTTTGCATAATTAAACTATTGACCGGATTTCATAATATCTTTTCATTTTCAATCTATTTCCTAGATCAACAAACTAAAGTATTCTATCCTTTTATTAGATTTTTATCTTTTCGGTAGTTATAAATATTATGATAGTTTTACCTAAGTATATTGTAGTTTGTGATCTCTATAATAGTAAAAATAAACCTCATTAAGAGTTGTATCGGGTTGATATTCCTACTATTAAAAGTATAAGTGATTTTCATAAGGATATCTAGAGACGAAATTAATTTCTCAATAGATACACGTACTAATATTAATCTAAAACTTATCCATAATCTTTTAAATAGATAAAATTTTCAAGCTTTCATCTTACATGTTTTCTTAATTAAGTTTAGTTAGAACCGTGTGTTTTATTTTGTAAAAATACCGTGTTTTTACGGATCATTTACTATGGAGCTTGAAAACGCACCCTCGAGCCAATCATGTTATTGTTTATTCGCACTGTGCTATAGATTTCTTGAGGATCACAGCAAATGCAAAAGGGACGAAACATGGGCCCTTTAGAAGCAAGAATGGTGGGTGATTGGGCCCTTTAGACTCCTTCCGAACTTCAGCCTCTCTAGTCCGCTTGCTATCGTGGCTAGAAGAGAAGCACAAGGCGACAATGGAGGACAAGGAGTAGGAGCTGTGGAGGCGAAGAGAGATGAACGAGAAGGAGACGAGGAGGAAGGGGAAGGCGGCTACAAGAGAAGCACGAGGCAACAAAGGAGGACGAGGAGGCAAAGTTTTTGGAGGCCGAGAGAGATGAGCGAGAAGGCGGAGAGGAGGAAAGGGGAGGCGTGCAGCGACGAGAAAATGAGCTAGGCCTGCATGGTGCATAAGATAAGACGATAGGGTTCCCCAATTTTGGAAGACTCTTTTCCATTGATGGAAATTGTTTCCATTGACCCATTCGTTTTCCTTTGGCCAAACGCCGAAAAAATCGGAAAGCCTTTTTCTCGGAAGTTGTTTTTCGCGAAACAAATGAAGCCTTTGATTCAAAAAGATAGAAAAATTAATTGCTTTGATAATCGGATCGAACCAACAGTTTAACCGGGCTTTAGTTCGATTTTCGGCTGATTCATTTTTTCTCAATTTGGGCCAGTTCAACCAATTCATTTGTTGTCAATTTTCGGCCAATTCATTTAATATTAATTAGTATGAAAGGATCATTCACGAGAGAGTAATACCAAGTCGTCCCAAAATTAGGTACAATAAGCACCGGGTTAACTAGGAGATCGACCTTTCGACCAAAAAAAAAAAACCAGGAGATCGACCCTTAGACCCTCGGATTAGCGCGGATAATCCACAAAATTAATTCTGATTTTAAAAGTTGATATTTCCTTTTTCCCACATGGGCCCGACATTCGAAGCTCCCTTCACAAATTTGCAAAATTATAAGCCCATCATGGGGCTCACCACCTAATGCTGATAGCTACACTGTTGCACCATTTTTCCTTGAAAACAATTTGAGGGGTGGCATTATTCTTGAACAAGGTTGAGAATATGCTGTGCGGATGATGATAATTTGAAGTTGATGGTTGATGCATGTTCCCTTTAGTTTCAGAAACTCTGAAGAAAAGTCCCACCAAATTGAAGAGACTCATAGAGAGAGGGAGAGAGAGCCGAAGAAATTGTGGGCTCCTCACTATCTTCAATCACCAAAATCAACATTGTCCATTACATCATTCATGTCCCCTCTCTCTTTCTTCCCCATGAATGGACCACCTGATACATGTGTGTCCACCACTCAAATGTTGTTCCAAGAATCGTTGTGGTAATGGGGGACATGCAGCATGATCATCGAATCCTAGCCGTCCATGCATGCTTGGGCCCCTCACAAATATAACTCAAGTATTAGGTCATGTTCAAGAAATATAACACCTATTCAAGTAACCCTTTCGGGGATTTTAGATGTTTGTACCCTAGAAATTAAAGTGGGGTTTATTTTGCGTTCATTACCAAAAATAATCTTATTGACGTGTCATGAGACGCAGAACGATTAACGTCCACATCAGAGATTTCTGGTCAAAATTAGTCATAATGACTATATTGGCAAATTATCAAAAGGTTTAAGACAACATTTGCTATACTGAAATATTTATGACTTA